CGGCAGCGGAGAGCAACCTGATCAGGGGCCCGGCCTCGCGTCTCATGTAGCCGGTTTCCGTGCCAGCCGCCGCCGTCTCCAAAAAGATGCTGCAGGTGGCAAGCAATCCTGGCTGCCTGGGAAGAGAGGAAACAGCACGTGAAACCGCAGATCTCGCCCGGCCGGCGTGGCTCAGTGGTGAGCGTCAAACTGTGAACCAGGAGGTCAGGGTTCAATTCCCAGTTAGGGCCCATGCCCAGGTTGTGGGCTCCATCCCCGGTGGGAGGCGTGCAGGAGGCAGCCGATCCATGATTCTCTCTCTCCGTCTCCCTTCCTCTCTGAAATCAATAAAAAATATACTTAAAAAGAAATAAATCAACCTCAGATCCCGCAGGCTCCGTGGGAACTGGGCTGGAGGACACCCCTTGGTTTGGAGGTCAGCTCTGGGTGCATCTGAGATGCGGGCTCGGGACTCAGGGGTCACCCCTGGACGAAGATTCTGATGATCCGGGAAGGTGACCACACTTCCGTCCGGCAGAGCAGCTGGCCCGCTGGGGGAAAAAAGAGGCCAACACGCCAGCTGGCAGGCAGAGCCCCCCCCCGGCAGCTCCCCGGGCCCGCCAGCACCCTGCCTGCTGGACTTTTAGGCGCATCAGCACTTTCCTGCCTGAGTCGGCCCACAAAGCAGGTGCCTTGCAACGGCCGCCAGCGAATCCTCCAAACGCGGTCCAATCGCTGACTCCAGCAACTCAGGGAACAGCGGGGAAGTTTTCATTGTCTGAGCGACCCGCGTCCCCGTGTGCCGGTGGACCCTGGACAGCGGGCTGCGACACGGCGTGCGCCCCTCGGCTCATCTCACCCCGGATGGCAAAGGCCCTGCTGGCTGTGCTCCCCAAACCAGGGCTGTGCTCCCCGCCCGGCGAGGCAACAGGAATAGAAACGGCTGACGCCTCGCCGAAGCAGGAGAGCAGACACGGGCACCTCATTGCCTGGCTCACAGGGCACAGCCAGGGCGCTCCAAATGGAAGCTTACATTAAAAACATGTGTGTGTGCGCGCGCACACACACACACACACACACACACGTGCCCTCGCACACGTGCACACACGATGTGTGGCCTGTGCTTTGCAGCAGGAAGGGGCAGGGGCTCCGGACACAGAAGGCCTGCGTTTCACACGTGGCTCTGCTGCGTGGAGGGCACGCTGGTGGGGGGCCCCTCTCTCAGCCTGCGTTGTCATCTGTGGAGGGGGACCCACCACATGGCACTGCGGGCGGCCAGGCGACAGGATGCCTGTCACTGCGCTGCCCACGCCCGGCACAGTCACCGTTCGAGCTGTGTTTGTTTTCCATGCAGGAGTTAAGACAAGAGTCTCATCCTGAACAAAGGCCCCGGGACATGGCCCAGAGTTCAAGGCCAAGGGGAGCCAGAGCAGCCTCCGCTGAGACTCGACGCAGTTTCTGTACTGAGGAGGCTCCCGGGACCAACAGGGATCTACACACACACACACACACCCCACATGTGCACACATACAAATACCACACACACGCATGCATGCATGCATGCATACATACATATGCATATGTATTTACACACATATATACCACACGTATGTGTATACAGCACTCTTATGTACATATACACATATGCACATGCACGTCACATATGTATGTGTTACACATGCATGCACATGTGCTTGTGCATATATGCATGTCACATGTCACACATGTACACGTATGCACGTGCCCATGTGCATGCCACGGGTATGTACAAACACTGCACACATGTGTGCATATACCACACACTCCACACATATACACACACCACGCACATGTATGTGTGTTTCGTGCATACACACAACATACACAGTGTCCAGCGCCATGTCACATGACCCGCAACCCATGCCCCTGTTGACCAATCCCTGACCAACTCTCCGCCCGATGCCTGCTCCCTCTCCTTGCCCCGCCTGGGGCCCCTTCCTCCAGGGAGGAGTCTGGCAGCAGATGCCCACGCCACGCGAAAGAGATCGCTCCGAGACCCCTGCCAGCCCCCTCCACGGCGCGATTCCTGCTCACACATGACTGTCTTTCTCTTTCCATGGAAAGAGCGACGCAAAAATCTGACCGCCATCTGAGCGCCCCCAGGAGGTGCAGGAGGCAGCCGAGAGCTGCTGGCCACCGCGGGTGTCGCTCATGAATGTTTTAGCTGCTGCCTCATAAAATATGGATGAGCCAGAAGGAGCCCTCTCCGGGGCTGTTCTTTCAAAACAACCCAGCAACTGACGCGTCTGCCCTCGTTTTCACAGCAGAGACCGGCCCCTCGGTTTCCGCAGCCCGGGGGCGGGGGGGTCCCCGAGACTCTAGGGCCTAGAGAGCCTGTGCTCTGAGCCCCTGTCCATAGCGCCTTCTCTCAGCACATCCCCCATCTCATAGCTGCTGACATCAAATGTTTCCACAACTGGAGCCCCCTGCCCTGCCAGCAGACTGAAGACCCCCTCCCCCAGCCACTCACCCCCCTTCCTGGGCCAAGGAGGGTGGAGGGAAACACCGTTCTTCCCGTCCCCTCCCTCCCCTCTGAGCCCGGGCTGGCCAGCCCTCGCTGTTAGAAGCCGTTATCAGGTGAGACCAAGCCAAGGTGTTACATGTCAGCTCTCACCATCTCCTTCCATCCTGCCTTCCTGAGCTGACACCGAAGTCACCCTAGAGCGTGGGGTGTTCGCAGATACGCTCCAAGTTACTGTGCAGATGACTAACCTCACCCGACACGTAGGAGGTTGACCAGCTGGAAATTCAGGGGCGGGGTCTGGTCACACAAAGGAGGGCTGGGTCTTGATTCTGTCCATCCCATCTGGGCGATCCTGAGCAAATTACAACGCCTGTCCGTGCCTCTGTTTGCTCATCTATACAATGGGCACAGGCCCCACCCCTTGAAGGACTGTTCTCAGGACACAGTAGAATCCCCGGCATGGATTTTCAAAGGCCCATCACAGCTTGTGACAAGTGGCGATAGCGTCTCAATACGTTTTTGTTTCTCTTCCGAGTTCTTCGGGCACCTGAAGTCATCACTGTGTTCTGAGAACATTGGGGAATTTTCCTGGACAGTCTTTAAAAGGAGAAGGAGCTGGCCCTCGCTGGCGTGGCTCAGTGGTTGAGCGTCGGCCCGTGGACTGAAGGGTCCTGGCTTCCATTCTGGTCAAGGGCACCTGCCCAGGTTGTGGGCTCGATCCCCAGTGGGGGGCGTGCAGGAGGCAGCCAATCAGTGCGACTCTCTCATCATTGATGTTTCTATCTCTCTCTCCCCCTCCCTTCCTCTCTACCTAAAAGTCAATAAAAACATATTTTAAAAAATTTAAAAAAAAAATGTGTCGGGGGGGACTAAAGGCCAGTATGAGTTACATCTTTCTTTTCTTTTCTTTTTTTTTAATATATTTTATTGATTTTTTTACAGACAGGAAGGGAGAGGGATAAAGAGCCAGAAACACCGATGAGAGAGAAACATCGATCAGCTGCCCCACTGGGGATGTGCCCGAAACCAAGGTACATGCCCTTGACTGGAATCGAACCCGGGACCCTTGAGTCCGCAGGCTGACACTCTTATCCACTGAGCCAAACCGGTTAGGGCGAATTACACCTTTCTATAAATACACTAAGGTCAGCAAAAAGGTGTGCTTCGAACAAACAAAAAAACCTGGGCCAGAGCGTCAGGCCACGGGCCCGCCGGTTGGTTGGGGCACAGTGGCAGCAGGTAAGAGAGAAGGCGAGGCAGGATTACAGAGCTCAGATGTTCAGCCCTCACCTCCACGAGAGAAAGTGATCTTCGGGTCGGGAAGGGCAGTGGTAGCATCACCGAGGAGAAATCGAAGCCAGAGCGAGGCAGCAAGATAGAATGAGGACACCTGGCGACCTCGACTACGTCCGTGTCCCCAAACGAGGTCAGATCAAGTGTGGCCCGGGACTCAAGGGCCTCGGGGACGTGATCACAAACATACGCCCCGTGGGCTCTGAGCAAAGGGTCCCACCGAAGCCGGAGATTGGCAAGCGCTCTGGTTTCGAGAAGGGAAAAGTAGTCACCAGATGTATATCCCCAGTGCCAGGCTAAATGAATGCTTATCCCAGCATGTGATAAGCAAGGGTAGGAATGTCCACATCGGGCCAACTCTGGGGCAAGAGAATGGAATAAAGGCCCACTGAAGTGGACAGAGCTGAGAAGTTGGGGAGAGCCCGGCCGGTGTGGCTCAGTGGTTGAGCGTCAACCTATGAACCAGGAGGTCATGGTTCGA